ACGATAAAGAAAAGTATTAGGCACCGGTGTATCTAAATTAAAATCTTCTTTCGCAAAAGCTTTTCGAAGAGCAAGTTTTCTTCGGTGAAATAAGCTGGGAATCTACACAACCACCAAATGACTCCAAAATTCGTCACCCATTCACATATGTATACTGAAAAAAACCCCACGCTGTGTGCTTTCGGGAGTTTTTTGAGCTAAAATCCAAGACACGTCAGGTTGACTTTGCTTGGGAAACGATACTTCTCACTTGGGAAACGTTAATTCGTAGTCACTAAAAAATGGGAAACGTGCAAAAAAGATGGCAACTAGCTGAACTATTTCCTAGACCATATGTTGAGAAACGCAGACTTTTCTAGTCGATGAAAGCGTTTTTTTCACCCAGCCATTTTTCTCGTCAGCTGCTTGTTATGGTGCTACTTTCCTTTAAGATTGCTACATGGATACGCGAATATGCACCTATGTATTCACGTATCCATGTAGCAACACTTCATATCAATTTTGCTTCATGAATGGAGCGACAAGTCTAGCCATATGTGGGCAGGCGGTTGCGGTGGGTATCTGGGAAAGGATTGTTTAGGCAGCATTCATACTTCTCGACAGCAGCGGCGATCGCGGCGACCTCGGCGTCGGTACATGGCGAGCGCCATTACTTAGACTCCAAAGGCTTTTAGGGAGAAGCGACTCAATTTCATGCTTTTTTCCTTTAACTGCAATTTTCTTAGGTACTGAAGCTTGGTTTGACACAAAGAAAGGTGAACCCAACTTAATGGCTTTTGTTTTCTATTTTCTTTCTTTCAGGATAGAAATGAGCAAAAAGCGTGAAAGCTTCATTTAGGTAGGTTTTTATTGTTTCTTTTTTCATTCGTCGAGCTTATACATGAGGTTATAAAGTTTTCACCTGTTGATGTTGCGTAAAATGATTAGTGTTTTGGTTCCTAGGTGAGTTTTTCTGTTTCTTTTTTTTCTTCGTTGTTTGAACTCGACTTGTGAACTACAAATGTTTTGGAAGTTGGAACAATTCAGACGATGATGGAACTTGTGAGGCCGCTTGCTATTGAATAATTGAAACAATAATATAAAAGGAAATAAAAGAGAGCTCGTCCAGGCAAATCGGCCCTGCGATCGCCGCTGCTGTCGCCGAAGTGATGAACGCTGCCTAAGGTGCTAAAACGGTGCTCCTGGTTGAACGAGCGCTACGATGCACCTGCTAAGAAGCACAATATTCTTTCGTGCTAGCTGTATAGACCCTGTACGTCTTGTGGACATATGGTGCTAGTTGCCTTTAAAACTGGACCCGTTTTTAAATTGCGAAGCGCCCGATGCTACCTCATCTTCTTCAGCTAATCTAACTGATAATACTTCTATGTTCCAGACAGACTTTTTACTGCGAATAAAATTCAACGAAACTTTCACCGGATTGATTCAAACCGAGAAAGGCGATCCTAACTGTGTGTACGTGAATGCGTCTATCCAACGCGGTACCGACTACGAAGTCAAGGTGAGTCCCTCAATTCCTCTACGCTGTAGTCCTTGGCCTGTTTTGCACCCCGGAAACGATCGGCTCATTTCCTTATTCAACCTCGTCGTTCACCCAGATTCCCCTCATTGGTTGCGAAACGAGACGAAATGATGAGGGAAACTATGAGAATGAGATTGCAGTGCAGAATTCAGCGAGATTTGACCCAAAAGGCGATAAACGCTATTTACTGACATGCATTCCTGCGAGTCATGTTTACAGGTTAGTTTTTTTGTAAATTTCTCCCTAAATAAATTGGCTTTGGTCAAATTGGAGTCGTAAGAAAAAAAAGGCGCTGCATATTTCTCCCTTTATTGTCCCTTTTTCGAAAGACGTTTGACGCGTTTTTTCGTCCAGAGGTGGATCTATCTGAAAATTCGTCTCGGAACCATGTTGACCTTTCGGACACGGTTCTCACATTTAGTCGGCACACAACCGTCTGGCACCCTCGCTCCAAAATTAGTCGGAAACTTGTACGCAGGGGTAATTGGGCCTCCTTCAACTCAAATAATTAAAAATTCGAAAACTGATCAAATATATCCAAATATTCGAAAGCTGGTATAGATGCAGTATATAATGTAAATTGTGTCGCAGCAAAAAGAGGCGGAGTTATCTGGGGGGGGGGGAGGACATGCAAACGATCCATTGTGTGCTATATAGTATGTGCGGTGGGCGCTTCGTGCAAGATTGGCAAAGGGAGCCACTTCGCGGAAGAATCGTATATGCATTGCTTGAGGTGCTGAGATGGAAGCCAGAGATGGGAAAGGAGCGGCACGCAGTGGGCCAGCTTTTTCTCTTCGTCTACACCTCCCTCCAAGCCTTCTTTTGCCAACGCTCAGCCTTAGCAAGGGAACGAATCGCTTCCAAAGGCAACCGAAAAGGACGCAGCCTTGTCTAGCCATGTGCCTCCAACTATAACGCTCCATGTGGCACAAAATCGCTAGCAGTCTACGCCGCGGAGTAGAAGTATTTGAAGTTGGAGCTCGTTCCGTTGGAGCTCGTTTCCGTTGCGTTGGCGCCAGGGGTTTTCGCGTCAAACAGGTGTAGCTTTGGCGTGTGGGGTCAACCTACTGGTAGGGAGCACTTGTAAACCAATTGATGCCCCTATCTATGTTTTGAATTGAGGTGCAGGCAAGGGTGAGTAGTGCCCGAAACAATCTTCCTTACGGTACGTCGTTTAATAATTTCCACGTTGTCCCTTCTTGTAACCTCGGCATGATGTCAAATGTTCAATTCTTCTGCCAAACGAGGTTGTTAGATGAAACCTTTTATTGGCCTACGTTTCGACCTTCTCGTCTTCTTCAGAGGCCTGAAAATGGCTCGAAGCTTTTAATTTGTACCCGACCAAACGCCCTCCCCACTCTAGCGTTTCCGACCTTGTTTCCCGAACGCTTCCCAACAAACCCGGCAATGAGTCCTAACAACTCACCGAAGGTCTCACCGTGCGGAGCTCAGCTCACGCTGTTTGTCAGTTGAACTAGTCTGATTCATCCTTACTAGTTGAACTAGTCTCATTCGTCCTTACTGGCTCAACTGAACACACTGCGTGAGCTGAGCTCCGCACGGTGATACCTTCGGTGAGTTGTTAGGATTCATTGCCGGGTTTTTGGGAAGCGTTTGGGAAACGAGGTCGGAAACGCTAGAGTGGGGAGGGCGTTTGGTCGGGTAGGTAACAAATTAAAAGCTTCGAGCCATTTTCAGGCCTCTGAAGAAGACGAGAAGGTCGAAACGTTAGGCCAATAAAAGGTTTCGTCTAACAACCTCGTTTGGAGAAGTAAAATACCCTCCGTATTTGTCGAAAAAAAAAAACGAAAAGAGACGCAGACTCGCGTTTTTTTCGTTTTTCTGGCATCCTAAAAAAATTGAAAAAGTCGAAAACCAAACCTGCTTCCTATCGAAGTTCCTGAGGACACTCGTTAGCGAGGTCTTTTTTAATGGGGCGGTGTGTGCATTGGTTCAATGCACGTTTTGAAGACAGAGCCCACGATCACTCATAATTATCTAAAGCGTTCCTAGGGTGGGGGCAGTGTGGACTGCAACAAACAATTCCTGTATAAGTTTCACGTCAGAAAGTGGTAAGTAGCGGCGGTAAGGCACAAGGTTGCTCAAGTGACTCCGCCTACATTGATAGATGTCTTATCTGCTGTCTTGCTCGTTTGCATGCTCTCTCGCTGCTTTCTCTGGCCTCTCACCCGATATCCACATCGATTCTTTTATCTATGGCCTGGCACGAGTAAGGCGCTATTTGGAGTGTTTTTGACCGTTCCCTCTTTTTTTTTCTTCACTGGTAACTCAAGTAGCATAGAGAAAGGCCTCGGTACACTTTTGGTTTCCAACCCGCTCCCTGCTAATTGTTGTGTGGTTCATCCTGGAGTCCGCGGCCACTTTCCTTTTTTATATATTCTTTGCTCTTCTGTTTTTACAACTTTGCCACAGAGTTCTCAGGTGGAACTTCCACTTCTACATCGCCTTTTTTCAGGGTCTAAATGTTAGGGTCAGCTGGGGATTCGGTTATCTATTGAAATATGGTAAATTGAGCTGTAAACACCTGCGAAGCCTCGAGCTGTATCAGCATTATTCCACCATAAATCTTGAAGTTGACTCACCCCCGACACCGTAAGCGGCTTTGTCAGAGCCCACGAGTAGCCGTCCAACAGCCCTTTGAAATGTTCTGTGTGGCCCTACCGAAGTGCTCACTTCATAAAATACTGCTCAAGCCAATTTTAATAGAATAATGCACTCAATATCAAAACGAAATCCCTCAGAGGTATCTTTTTGCCGCTATGGACGGTCCCCTATGTCATTCGAGAGCTGTTCTGTCGCCCATATAGAAAAATTGACAAAGTGAGCATATATTATGTAATTTAATTTTGCAGCTAGACTGCTGCTAACAAACCGGTCCTCAATATTTTCTCTTACCATTATTCTGGTGATTTTGTGAGCAGGCAATTTTGGTGCACCCTGTATTTACCTATCTTTACCGCTTTTATCACTTCCATATTTTTCATCGTTATTTTTCTCAGTTTTCTCATGTGTCGTTTCACTTCATATGTCACAGACACAATTTTTTTGCATCAACGTACAACATTCAATGCCAAGCGCAGATTACTTGTTCTTCTCAAGCATTTCATTTGGTTCTTCTCTCCCGGTTGTTTATTATGAATCGCATGTTCCCTTACACATAACATAGAGTCACCAAATGCACCATGAACTCCCTTCATATTGGCCTGTGCGAGAAGAGCAGCCATTCTGGTCTCAACGTCGCATTAGCACGGTCCAGAGGATCAGTTTCCTGTCAACCAGTAGCAATCATGTAACTTCGAAAGGATATGAGTCAAAGATAAAATAAGATTCATATTCTTCCGAAGTACATGATTGCTAATAGCCTTACATGTGAACGCAAAAAGAGACCGTGGTGAAAGCTCAAAGGCAAGTGGCACGGTAATCCTCAAGCGAAGTAGAAGACTCCGAGCAGGACAGAATTCCGCGCCCCTGAGCAGGCGCTGCGTGTCACCGTTTCTAAGGAAGGTACTCTTGTAGCGCTCTGTCGAGCTGCAACATACCGATCCGGACGTCCACTGCAGTCGCCCGCTCACAAATGTCCGACCGATGCTGATGCTCGTATCACTTCATTTGCGAAGTATAACACGAAGCGAAGGATAAATAATAAGCGGTTGCACATACAGACGTATCTACCATAACGATTATTCAACGGAAAACTCGTCCAAAATAGCTTTCTGAATCGTGAAACGAAGGCTTTTTTGCGGGTTTTTTTTACCGTTCCACTTCGTTTTTTGACACTCTCGCACTACATACCACCTTGCTAGCATTGAAGCCACTATACTCGAAATCCCTGAGATCGGGTAGGCGTGGCTGCATGTTTCAACTGAAGGTGTCTATGCTTCTGGTGAGATATTTTCATCTTGACACAATTGTTGTCGTGTCTCTGTCCAACACAGAACAAGATGACAGTTGTCCCAGACTGGAATATTCCACGAGTAACCAGTTCCGTGCCATGTTCAAATGCCACGCCTACTCTGGCTCAGGGATAAGGAGTGTACACATTACCCTGCCATATGCCTTTAATCGTCACTGGGTGCGTACTCAGTTCTGAAGGTTTGATGCATGACAACTCTGAGGATTGCCGATCAGTTGTGACTTACATTATTCGGTAAAGTATCCGCATCCTCCCTTGGAGCTGTTGCGATATGAGAGGGTAAGAGCGGCCCTCAGGGCGCAACGAATAGCGCGCTGTCCCCTAAAGAAAGCGTGAACCACCCATCGAGTCCCGCTTGGGGTGAAGACTTTAAAGGCAGTTGGCACGATGATTTGGTGCTCGCCCTAAAAT